GGAGTTCGCAGTGGTGGCTACACCTTCTCTGGTGACATTCTCATTGGCAATAATGAGGCCGAAGGCGCTCAGTACGTCAAAATTGGCCCTCTCGAGTCGTTCTACTCTCGCAATGAGATTAGTGCCAACTTTACTCGAGACAATGTCCTGGCAAAGCTAACTAGTTTCGCTCCAGAGAATCTGCGCTCAATGGTAGAGCCGGTGATTGACGTGCTCGCAGACGGGGTGGAAGATCCGAACAACTCAACGCAGATGTGGCAGAGATACGTTCAGCTGGTTGGGGATATGGTTTTCGTGTGTCCTGATTTCTACTTCCTGAAAGGCTACCTCGATCGTCCAGCTAGCCACCGACGAAGGTCGCATTCTGCTAGCGTCTACTACTACCGCTTCCGTCCGCTGGTCTCCCATCCTGTCGACTGTCCTCGCTGGTCTCGTGGCGCCTGCCACACCGATGAACTTCAGTTCTTCTTTGGAAAGCCACTTTTACTTCCATCGCTGTATCCACCTGAAGAACGGCAGCTTAGCAAAGCGATGCTCACTACAATGCTCAACTTTGCCCACGGGTATGTATTTTGTTATCTTATACAGATGAGAGAAAGTTGTAGGGCAAGCAAAACGAATCATCGACTAACAGAGAGGTGATGTCTGTTGACAGGTCGTCAGACAAATCAAACGTGTCCTTCTCCTCTCATTGGCGGCCATTCACCAAGGACAATCCCGAGTACTTGCAAATCGACCTCACAGAGGCGAAAATGGTCAAAGGATTTCCAGGGCAACGGTGCGAAGAGCTCTGCGAGCCGTTGTACGAGATACTGGAATCGATGGACGACAGTCAGATGAAGCTAATCAAAACCAAAGTAGTGTGACAGTCCGCAACAGTAGTCCTCTACTTATGTGAATTCACTCAGTCATTCAGTGGCAGACAATGCTCTTCAATAAAAAAGGTAACGGGCATATAAACGCTTCGTCAGCATGCGGACAAACAGTGGCAATCAGAGCGCAAAAGTAAAAGTTCATTCGCAATGAACTCAATCAAGGGCGCGAGTAAAGTCGGCAAGTAACAGGAGAAAGTGGCGTGAATCCGGTTTTGGGAGAAAGGAACATGTTCAAAAGGCAGATTTGTGTTCATCATCAGTGCTGGTAATCATCAGGCATCTATTGCTTTCACATTAAGGTTAACGACGCCATTGTCGTCGTAGTGGTCAACAATTGCTGAGCTCAATTATGCCAATGTTGATGATTTTCTTGACCCGCTGAACAAACTTACTCGCATTTGGATGCAGGCAAATCGCGCACATTTGTGGATGTCATTCCATTAGGCATCTTTTAATCTGCTCAAGAGTTGGAGTTGTCTTGCAGAGTCTAACACTCTTGATGAGAACTGGTGAGCCCACTTGTGCACGCGTGCAAGAGAATGACAATGCCGGTGAAGGTGCACTGGTGCAATGTAAACAAAGATTGCCTCACTCGCTGTCACACTTGCTGTTACCATTTCTCCTCTCTCTCTCTCCTAGCGGCGCTTTTGTACAGCGGCGCTAGTCTCGGCAGTGGGCGCCAGTCACTCGCTTNTGTGCACGCGTGCAAGAGAATGACAATGCCGGTGAAGGTGCACTGGTGCAATGTAAACAAAGATTGCCTCACTCGCTGTCACACTTGCTGTTACCATTTCTCCTCTCTCTCTCTCCTAGCGGCGCTTTTGTACAGCGGCGCTAGTCTCGGCAGTGGGCGCCAGTCACTCGCTTTCGGTCAGCTGTGATTTCGCCGAACGGCAACATCAGCGTGGCTTCGAAGCTTTGATCGCTTTCGCGGTCACAGGGCCCTTCCTTTCTCTATTTTCTACGGTGTCCTGTCTGGCCGCTCTCAGGGGGGAAGCAATCAATCATCACGGTAGACAATAACCCACTTGTTTTTGTGAGTCTCTTCAATAATATCCAAACCGTTGCACACCTCTCTCGTTCCCGTTCTCTCTCGCAAACAGTCTCTGGTGGCCGCAGGCAACCGATAGCTATCTGCGGTATTACAAACGGTGGCCAGCAAGCACATCGTCGTTGCCAGACAGTCGTACCTTACGGTGCATTGATGCAAACTCGTTTCTCTTTGGCCAAAACAGCAGCCTCCACTTGCCTGCAGTGGCCTAGCCGTCCTACTACTAAAGCTCGCCACTGGGTCGTTCATTTTCGCCATCCGTCCGCATCGAAGTCCACTCGGACAAGTGACCAGACAGCACACACTCTGCATCGACACTCTCCATCGTCTGGCGGCGCTATCTCTGGAATTTCTCGACGGTGGCCTGTGTGGCGCGAAAAAGAGCCCGAGGAGGCATCGGCAACAAGTTTGTAGAGAGCCCGGACACACTGCCTTGCTGCACGCATTTGATCGATGCAATGACCGACTGCACTCCTATTAGCAGACAACGGTGAATTCAACAAGCGCGCGCGGTAATCAGTGCAACGTGCACTGCTGCAACGACCGCTCATTCAAGTTGGACTGCCAGTCAGACTAGCTGTGCTCTCTTCATCTTCACCTCTTTTGCCACCGACCAAAGTCTGTCCATGTTCTGCTTTTTCTTCTTTTTCTTCTTCTTCACCATCTTCAAATGCTTAATGTGTGTTTACTGATTTGATTAGCAGTGTCTGCAGGAGCCCTTCTGTCAAGTGTCGTTTGTCTTTCTGTCAAGTGGTCAAAACCTTTTTTTCTTGTCTTGCGCCGCCAGTACGGCATTGGCACAGTTCATCCTCACTGAATCACCAGTTTGCAAGACACAGGCAGTAAAGCGCAACCTCTCTGTGCTGCGTGACAATGTCCAGCCAAAGCGGTAAAGATTGGCACTTTTTTGCCAAGTCATTTGTAGCCGGTGGTCTTGCCGGCATGACCAGCAAGACCACCGTCGCTCCTCTGGATCGCATCAAAATTTTACTTCAAGTACACAATTCTCATTACAAGAACTACGGTGTCTTTACTGGCTTAACTGCAATCGTCCGACAAGAGAGTTTTCTGAGCCTGTACAAAGGTAAGAGAGCCGCTGCCTCAGTTTTTTCACTTTATCTGATTAATGAGTAATCTAATAAAACATGGCCTTAATTAACTCTTACATTATTCACTTGCTAGGAAATGGAGCGCAGATGGTGCGCATCTTCCCCTATGCAGCAGTGCAGTTCATGTCTTTTGAGGCTTACAAGCGTCTGCTGAACGGGCTCGTCGATGCGAGGAGCATCGCTGGTGCCCCCAAGGTGGTGAACCATGAGCTGAAGTTTGTCGCCGGCTCAATGGCAGGCGTCACATCGGTGCTGATGACCTATCCACTTGACTTGGTGAGAGCTCGACTTGCCTCGGTGGTGGCAACGAATGGCTCAACATTGGTGGCCACAGCAAACCAAGCCCCGACAACCATTGCAGGCACTCTGCTGCACGTCTTTCGCCACGAGGGCGGCATCAAGGGCCTGTATCGCGGCATCACGCCCACCGTGCTCGCAATGATTCCCTACGGTGGCTGCAACTTTTACATGTTTGAGCGGCTGAAGCACTGGTGCGTGCAGTACGCGCCATCGGTGTGTTGCTATCGCAATTTAGATAATCCTGACAAGTTCGTACTGAACGTGCCCTCCAAGTTGCTGTGCGGCGGCCTGGCGGGCGCCATTGGTCAGACTGCCATCTACCCACTGGACGTTGCCCGGCGGCGGATGCAGCTGAGTATGACCAGTCAGGAGACGGCCGTCTACTCGCAGAGCTTTCTTCGCACCTTGCTCATCACCTACCGCTCACATGGCGTTGTCCGAGGTTTGTACCGAGGCATGAGCGTCAACTACGTCCGTGCCATTCCCATGGTTGCAGTGTCCTTTTGCACCTACGAAGTCCTCAAACAACTACTCGGTCTGGAGACGGGTGTTGATTCAGTCTGAAGGGGACACGACCGTCACCATGCCACACACTCATGTACTCTTTATTTCAACATTTTTTGCTCATTTCTCTTTGGATAAACTGCACCTTTCTCATTTTTTAAAAGTCATGCACATTTTTCGCAACATTTCAAGTTCATGTTTTAGGTATCAGTGCGCCAACATACACCCAAATGGAGTGCACATTGGCCGGGTAGACGTGCACATGGGCAGCGACCACGTATTCAAGCATCGCCTGCTGCCTACTGTTGCCCGGAGCGGTCTCTGCGCCAGCAAAGGTGCCGTCCAGAGAGTGCACCCCGGTGGAGTACACCAGGTGAGCCATCTGCTGAAAGTCGATCAGCGGGGAGACGTGCAGTGGGTAGCCGACGATAGAGTGAACCGAGTGCACCTCGGCCAGCTCCCCCAGCAGTGCCTCCTCAATGGCCACCACCTGTTGCTGTTGACTGTACAGTGAGCCACTGGTGGCGGCCAGACAGGCGTGCGTCTCCAGTTGAGGCAACATTCGACGAATCACCTGAGTGCAGTATCGATTGAAAGCGGTAAAAGTGACGGCCTGCTGCCGTCGCCAGTTCATCAACTGCTCACGCAAATAGTTCTCCAGATGCGACTCCAGATTACTTGCTGCCTTCATGTCAACTGAATTGCTGTAGTCGATTATATCAGGCTGTGTTTAGAGGAAAAATATAGCTCAATGTTAAAATGTCTCGAGCTGAACTTTGTACAACAGAAATTACCTGAATCGAAATGAAAGTGTTCTCTTTTTGATCATCATTACCCTCTGTAGCCGTAAAACGGGCAATATCCTTTGCTGAGGCAAACAAGGGCTGCCAGTGACTGCTTTTTCGCAGGTTGTACTGCATCGTATTGGGATGAGAGTTCTTCTGCACATTTGCGTACACCTAAAAAGTTGAAAATGTTAGTGAAAAAGCAAAACAATGGTAAAAGTACTCAACGTTATCATTGGTGACAATGCAATCAATGGAGTGCATGGTAATGTTGAAATCGCGAACGCCAAACTGCTCCCCTGTTTTGGCATTTATTACCACAGGTTCATACTCGCTTGCATTCTCATCTTTTGCAGATGTGCTAAGCGCATTTGTGGCTGGGTACAAAATGACATGGCCAGTTGGTCCTTCGGTGAGCGAGTTGCCGTAGAGGAGGCAGGCATTTCTATCGAGATACTGCAGCATGCAACAAAGGTAAATGGCATGCTCAAGACGGAAGCCAACACGTAGAGATAAAAACTGCGTGATATCGAGGACACTTGATTTGGACAGCAGCTGCCACCAGAACTGGTCTGAATTGCTGTTGAGAGGATTTTGTGAAAACGAAGGAATAAGGGAAACATAACGAATGATTGTTTGCAGGTAAAGGGCTTCCCGATGAACCAATTTTTTCATAGAAACATTTCGTATCTTTTTTGTACTCTCTTCTGCATTGCCTTTTGGTGCCATCAACTTGTCAAGTGAAATCAAGTCCTTTAAATCCGGTGGCTTAATCGGCGTCAGATACCGACAAATGAAAACAAGTCTGTGCTGGATATTCTCCACCAAACAGAGAAAATGTCGGTGTGGGAATGTAGAGTTGAGATGCATTCGCCAACGATTACAGTGCTCAACAAGTTCTGCTGATTCGATGCTTTCGTTCTGAAGTTACAAAAATAATGTTACACTATGTAACTCAAAAGTTGTACAAAAGTTACCTTTGTTGAAAACTGTATTCCCGAAAGAGGCTCAATGGGTGGGTCAATGGTGATGAAAAATGACAGTGCAATATCAGGTATTGTTCCAAGCAGTGTTTGGTCAGCTTCGTTCACGTACAGAGACTTGATCTGTCTAACTGTTGAGATCATCTTTGCATCTTCGCTGGGGCTTGTTTCAGTTTCTTCGCTCTGATCCAGTAATTTTTGTCTTGATTTTTTATTCATTTGACTAGACGAGGATGATATGCTTTTGTAGTCTGTAAGGAAATATGGTGATGATAAAGTGAAGGTGCCTAAAAGAAAATGAAAGAATTATGAAAAAATGTTGCAGTTTCGCAAACACACCCAACCTTCAACTTTTGAATTGAGTAAAATTGAGATTAGTGGGACTTTGAATTGCCCGAAATATCGCTTTTCCAAGTGCATGAAAGAGTCAAGTGCATTTAATTCTTGATCTTCCTGGTGCAAGCTGTACTCTTGCTCAATCGGTACTTTGGAAGCTGATTTTGACTGATCCGAAGACAAACTGTTTGAACGAACTGATTTGAGAACTTCAAATAAATTTAGCGATATGTGCTGTCTGGGATCAAGTCTAGAAACAAAATAAAAACACTGTTTCAACAAAAATTGAATTTAACAACAAGTTAAACAAACTTTATCTTGAATCGAAAGTTTTCATTCCAAGTTGGCTGTGGTCCATCGGCGATTGAAGTGGAAATGCGTTGATTATCAAAAACCACTTCAACAAAGGAAGCACAAGGCGTAAATCGATCTAAATCATCGTCCTCTTCATCATCGACTATCTCTTCAGGGTTCACCATTCTCAACGGCACATTAAGTGCGTGCTGGACTGATAGCACAACTTGCACTTCCCGCTCGAGTGCTTCAGATAAAGTGATTGCCGCTTTTCGACGATCTTTGCGTGAAGGATTTAACTTACTTCGATTCATATTTGCAAATGGAGTAAAGAGGGAAAACTCTGATGCTCTGTAAGTAAACAAATATAACATAAGCATGCTCATGTCATACAGAAATTCAACTTACTCCAAAGATTCCATAGTGTCCTCTCGAATGATGTCCTCATAAGAGAGAATACGTGAGTTTGCACTAAAAAATCCATTATTGTGCGCTGCCTCGCTATTTGGACTCTGTTGATCAGAATCAATTTTCTCCAAAACCTGAACAATAGTCATAATCAGATTAGGAGCACTCATAAACTGTCGACTGGCACTTCCGTCGTGGGCAGAAACGAGAAGGCACCAGTCGTGAAATATTTTAGCTCCATTGTCGGCATTTCTTTTCTTTTTTGTCTTTTTTCTATAAACACCTTGAAGCCGCTTTAGTTGATCTTGACAAGAACTTTGAATAAATTCAAGCAAAAGCTCCATAGAGATCTTTTCAGCTTTGTCGCTTAGCATTGCATTCTGCAACATCACATCAGTGACATTATTTAGCGGAATAAAGCGAAGCGCTCGTTGATTTCGAGATGCACCATTATTTCGGTATATCATGAGCTGAAATCGCTTGTTCTGTTCAATCTCTTCTTCTTTACAGAATGTCCCGAGATCTTTTTGATTAGCTGCTTCTTCAGACTGATCATTTTGCTTACTTTTCTGAGTATCTTTAAGGAGCAGATCACTGTTCAGTTCAACGTAGTACTTTTGACGAAGACACAACTCTATGAGCTGTATTCGGCGCATTGAGTCAGTACTGGAGCTGTCGTCAGTGGCGTATGCCTCCAAACTGATTGCGTTCAAGTAGCGAAGATTATGCAAAGCCTGATCAACTACCTTCAAGTCAGTCATTCTTTTTATTTGTCGCTTTTCTTGATCAAATACCAACTCGGCTGTAGATGACTCGGCAACAGTTTTGGCATCGCATGGTATAGAGGCCCAGAAGGTACACAGCTGAAATGTGCCTTTTATACGTAGACGATTGACATTTTTATCTTCTTTGAAGGCAGTTTCAAATTTAGTTTCAAAATGTTTAGCATGATCAATTGATTTCTGATAAAAACGAGGTAATTCTGTAAGTGGAACCTGCCACACTAGTTTCGAATCTAAAGTCGATTCAGAAGTTTTTTCGTAAATTGAAATTACAGGAAGGTACTTTTCACAATAATCTTCAAAGTTTGACTGGTTAATATCACTTTGGGAATCGGTTTTGGAAAATGAAACGTAGTCAGAGTGTTGTGTATTTTTAAACCAAGGAAAGGCAATGGTAACTGATTGGTTCCAAGTTGGATTAGCAAAATCTGACTGTAGGTAAATTGGTTCAAACTGCACAAAGTTTTTCTCACCAATTGATATCTGTTGACAGGAATTTTAGAAATAAAGGTAAAAATATAATAAAAATGCTTACCTGAATTGTGTAGAATAAGTCTAAATCTTTTTTATCAGTGCGACTGTAAATCAGTTCAATGTGCTTGAACTTTGGCTCTCCAGGCAATCGGCCATCATGAAGATAGGTAAGCGACTGAACGTTTTCCCTGTTAACTTCGGAAATGTTTTTTCCCAAAACTTTTTCCCATGAAACATTAGCCTCTACCAGTTGATTCCACTCTGTACGTTCCTTTTCTTCATCCACATTTGCCGCTTCTTCAAGAGACAAATTGAGACAGCCGCTAGTGACCAGCTTACTTGTCGATTTGTGCGATACAGCCCGATCCCAAACTCGAAGCAGTTCAATGAGTGATTTACGTCTAGTGTTTATCGTTGTCCTTTGAAAATCCACGAGCCGTCGCAGCAAGTCTACATCGAGTTGATGTTCATTTTTGTCCGTAATATCTGAAGTTTTTTCAATTTTGGCAAAAACAACTGCTATTACTTCATTTATTTGCTTCAGTTTATGGTTTACTCTAGCAGAAATGGATTTTTGATATTGCTCAAAAGCAACATTGAGAAGGCGCAAAAGTTTACACTCCTCGTCCATAAGATAATGTTTTGAGAAAGATATTTCTGCCTGAGCAACTTCAAGTAAAAACCGATTATTGTTCAGTCTCTGAGAAGGTTGAGTAGTTTGCAGACTTTTGATCAGTTTACCACGCCCTGTGTTGTACTGCACAAAGCAGTCGTAAATCCACCGAAAAAATCTGAAAGCTTTTGACGATTCATTTCTTTGAAAAAGGTATCCAAGTTGGTGAAGATATTCTCGCGACTGAAGAGAACGCAAAATGAACCGCTCAAATAACGAAGAATTTTTTGGCAAAACATAGTCTTTTACAGCTTCAATAGCTTCAGTGTCTGCCTCATTATTGTCTGACAAAATGAAAGCACTTTTAGAATCCGCCAAAGATTTCCAAGTAACTCTAGATTTTACGATCATTGGGCCTAGTTGTTCTCGCTCAGGTGTTGGCAATTTTTTCAGTTTCTTTTTTCCTCTCTGACCTTTGCCGGTTTTCTCTTCTTCTGCTGGCCATTCCTTTTGAATGAAGAATGCCAGAGCATCTTTCCGACTAATCTCCAACTGTCCATCCAGATAGCTTGGGTTGAGAATGCGTTCCAGTGTCTTTTTCCACTCATTTCGTAGAGGAACTGCTCTGGGCGTTTGTTGACTTGTTTTTTCTTCATCATCGAAATGCTTTTCTTTCTTTAGAGTGTTTTCAATTATGTCAGGAGAGTATCGAGCATTTTTTTCGTAGATTCGTTTTAGTATTTTACTTCGAAAAGCAGTTCGATAAGAGCCGTCTGCAGGCTCGCTTGCATCTTTATCTAATTATGGTGAGTAGTAAAGTTATTAATTAACAGTTGTCAATTGAAAGAACAAACCATTTCGGTGCTCGGTATCCATTGTAATCGCATTGCCATTGGCGTCAAATTGGCTTCACAACGAAAACGTGTCGAGGTCGAGTGCTTTATTGTTTCACACTGGGCGAGGTTAGCCGGTTGCCATGACGCAACCCGAGAGAATTGTTGTCAAACAAAAGCAAGTCTACTCTCCTTGCAACTTGCCTGATTGTTAAGTACATTCTGCTTATTGCTTACTGATCATTTTTAAACCAAGACATTTACAGAATTTATAATTCATAAATTCGCTCAAAAACAAACAGAATTTTGAACAAAAAAAATTAAAAATTTACGCAATAATCGGTGCGCTTAGAGCAGGAACCCGAGAGTTTATTTCAATAATGTCCAAGTGTCTAAAATGTAACTCTATACAAAATCGTCAGATTTTTAAAAATTTTTCTTAAGGAAAAAGTATTTTTCAACGGAACTAGAGCTTGACATTGTCGTCGATAGAGGTCGCTTTGAGGATGCATCATTTTAGGCTATTTTGACACATTTGGTGAAACACTTTCACGTGGTATTTTTCACGTGCAATTTTTGTTTTGATCAAATCCGCTTTGAAAAATTCTCCCAACTTTATTCTGTGATTCTCGTTGATTTACCCGATTTTCAGCGTCTATTAACTATGGAGGGTCATCGCGCAGGCCCCTTCAAGCAGCGCAATAAGGCGCACAAAAGCGGGAAAAAGAAATCAGCTCGTGATTTAACAAACGGTGGTCGTGTCCGTACGACTTCAGTCAGCTCACTCCGTTCACTAAGCTCCAAAGGAGGCTCAACAATTGCTCGAAGTGTTCGTAAGAATCAGTTGGCACAGCTGCGAAAGTTGAAAAGAGAAGAAATTTTAAATGCTCGCCGAGGCATTGCTGTGGCTCCGGTTCTGGTGGCAGTACTCAATCTGGCTGATGATGGCATCAACGAGTCTCTTTTCGCTCAACGTCTTGAAAGCTTTGATTCGTCGTCCAAACTCTTCACATCAAAACATGGCAGTTACATTCACATTGAAATGCCAAAATTTAGGACCAGTTTTCAGGTGGTCATGCTCAACAAAACGGATCTTTATGGTGCCCTTGATTTGGCGAAAATTGCTGATATCCTTTTGTTGATTCACTCTACTGACACGGAAGCCCAGCAGCAAAGTGAGGCACTGTACCAACTTGAAGCAATCTACAATCATTGCTTGCCTCAAACTGTCCACGGCGTTTTCGGTCTTGATTCCGTTTCCAACAGCAAAGAAAAGGACCGGGTTCGAAAAAGTATTCTCGAGCTCATTGAGAGACAGTACCCCGGAACTATTGACAACGGCAATACAGCTAAACTGCGCCAGCTTGATTCGCCACAAGATCTTTTTCAATTCTTTCACTATTGTTCCAATGTTAAACGAAAGCCAAACAGCTACTGTACGCGACGATCTCAATTGCTAGCTGAAGAGATTCAATTCGAACCTGACCATGACTCACAGGACAAGGGCTCAATGCTGGTGGATGGGTTTATTCGCAACACCGCCTTCAATGTCAACTCGTTGGTTTACGTGCCCGAGTTTGGTGAATTTCAACTTGAAACGGTGGAAGTGATTACTAATCCCTATCAATCGCGCTCTAAGCCTTTCCCCATGGAAGGCTTTCGAGATGATGCCGATCCTGAACTCCGACCATCGTTGGACGAGCGTGAAAATCCAGTGGAAACTTTATATGAACAAGAAATGGCTGATCTAGGAGATGGCGACCATAATGATCTGGCTCTCAAGACAGTTCTTGCGACAAAAGTTGAGAAAAGAAAGCTGCCTAAAGGAACCTCTGACTACCAGGCCGCGTGGATTATTGATTCGGACGAAGAGAAGGACAACGATGAGGAAAATGAGGAGGAAGAATCGGAAAACGATGACTCTGAAATGTTGGACGTATCAGCTGTCACTGGGGGGACTTTGAAAAAGGGAAAATCTGTACAATTTGCCCCAGTTGATCAAGTGTTTGACGAGTTTGAAAGTAACGCCAGTGGACATGTTGGAGACGAAAACGGCGCTGATGAAGATGGAGTCACCAATGGAGACTACGACGAGGAGATGAACATGGAAGAGGAAGAGTCTTCAATGGCCAAATTCAAAGAGCAGCGAATGTACGAGCTGTTTCCCGATGAGATTGACACACCTGCGCAAGTGTCAGCTCGAGAGCGTTTTGCCAAGTATCGTGGCTTAAAGAGCTTCCGAACCTCAACTTGGGACATAAAGGAAAATTTGCCAGCAGATTACTCTCGGATTTCGCAGTTTCAGAACTTTAATCGCACCAAACGACGCCTGTTTAAAACGGAGCCTTGCGGTACTGAGCCTGGCTGCTACGTTCGCGTTCGAGTGATCAATGCGCCGCGAGCCATGTTTGAGTACTATCAAAGTCGTCGCCACAACAAACCACTGGTGCTGTATCAACTGCTGGCTCACGAGCACAAAATGTCAGTGCAGAATATTGTCCTGAAGAAGGTGTCATCCTTTGCGGAGCCTGTCCAGTCAAAGGAAGAGCTGATCTTTCACCTTGGATGTCGCCGCTTTGCCGCCAAGCCAATCTACTCGTCGCACACCGTGGGCGACAAGCACAAGTACGAAAAGTACCTTCGTTCTGATGTTGCCTGTGTGGCCACCATCTACGCGCCCATCACTTTTCCGCCCACCCCTGTGCTCGTGTACAAGCAGTACGCTGATGGACAGCAGGTTCTAGTGGCCACTGGCTCGCTCCTCGACTGCTCCCCCGATCGACTGGTCATTAAGCGGTACATTCTCTCTGGCCATCCCTTTAAAATCAACCGAAGACACGCCGTCGTGCGCTACATGTTCTTCAACCGTGAGGACATTCTCTGGTTCAGACCAGTGGAACTGCGAACTAAGAGCGGTCGTGTCGGACACATTCAGGAGCCGCTGGGCACGCACGGCCACATGAAGTGTGTCTTTGACGATCAGCTCACCTCTCAGGACACTGTTCTCATGTGCCTGTACAAGCGTGTCTTTCCCAAGTGGTCGTACCGCACTGAGGGCATCTCTGCACCAGCTTTTCTTCCGATCAACGATGAAGAGATGACTGCTTGAAGAGTGTGATTTACTGCTGTCTTTAATACTTTCACTAATGTTTTTATATAAAGCAATTATATTTCATGTCGAGTCATTTAACAGTGTATGATCTCATGGACACATGTTGCCAAATTTCGATTGTCATTCAAAAGTGTCTGCCAGCATTCTTACCTGTTGTAGGTAACGCCAGTGAGAGGAGAGCTCTTGATGACTTGGATGCTTGGATGCACTCGTGCGTAGGACTCATTAGCGCGGTGGGGGTGGTGGTGGTGATGATGATGGTGTTGCCTTTTGAGTAGTGCCTGGCATCTCCTGTCCAGTGTGCAATTGCCTCAACAAGAAGACAGTGGCAGCAACATTAAACTGGTTGACATTGAGAGTCGTTGTCGAATGTTGGCAGACGCTTTCACTCATTCTCCTCATCTCTGGAAAGGTGCCACTGCTGGTCGTCTGACTGCCGCTGCTGTCCACTAATGGGTACGGTCTACTGACAGCCAGACTACTGCAGGACAACTCACTGACAAGCCTCTTTTTTGCGAGGCGCGATCGCTGACCGACGCTCGTCCCCATGCTCCTTATCTAGTCCTCAAAGTGCATGTTTTGGGCGCTTTTGCTCATCTTTGATCCATCATGCGTTTCCGTTCCCTCTACCGCTACTCATACGGCAAGTCACCCAAAGATCTTCGGCCAGCGGTAGTCGCCTGCAAGCTGGCACTCGCACTGATCATTGTAGCCACAATTCTTGTTGCTTTAGCCGTCTCTTTATACTTTTACAACAACTACCACTCGACAGAACCGTCAGCTAACAGCAGCAAAGCAAGCACGCCTGCTCGTCACCAGGAAGAACTGCCTAATCATTCATCATCATCATCATCATCATCATCACTGGCGCATTACTTGGCCGACTATTCAGGTAATTTAGGTAGAATTTTGTTGAAATTCTCTCTGCACCACGTTCCGGAAAGGGACGATCGGGGCGCGACAGTCTTTGAATACTAATCATTAGCAGATTCGTTCACTTGTAGCAACACGAGTCTCATTTCCTCTTTCATTTACAGTACCACTTTGCCTCATTGCCGGCGCTGTCCTCTTTCTGCTAACCTTGGCCTCAATTTGCTACGCCCATTTAGCCTACAGGCGTTACCTTCAGTCACGTTTAGTCTCGTATCAGCTGGTCAATCGGTCCTTTGATCAACTAAAACTTGAGCAGCTGGCCAAGGTGCACGTGCGTCAACCGATTGTCTCCAAGCAGAACGGTGCTACAGTGTTGGTCCCCAAAACCTCTCCCGTACCAGAGTGGCTCAAGCAGTCAGCTGAAGTTGGCACTTCAAACAGATCAAAGTTTGCCAACTGGGCTCGCTCCAAGTGGACACGAACCAATTTGCCCGCTACTACTAGAAACATTAACAACAACCCAAAATCAAAACGACCCATTTCCAAAGAGATGACCATATGAGCGTGAGTGAGAAAATTGTTTATATATTTACATGTGTGTGCAGTGTACTTTGATACAAATAAATCAACTGCGATTAAGGTTGCGGTTAATGAGCGACAAAATTCTCCCCGAAGAGCCATCCAGCCGGTTACACTCTATTTGATTGATGAGAATGTTCCATCGACGAGTGGACTGTCGAGGATAGCCATGGCGTGGCGCATGAACTGTGAGAATGAAGGGGCCAATGTGCTTGCGAACATCGATCATTACTGGGAGAGTAAAAATGGATTAGTGAATGGTGGCAAGAAAGTGCACCAATGTGTCGCCTACCATGGTGTCCTATTTTGCGGGCACATATGGGCGGCACAATGTCCTCCTCGCTGTGCATCGTCCGCATGGTAATGCGATCTGTCTTGCAATCAGCAGCCACACTCGACTCGTAATCAATGGCATTCACACGAGACTCATCTTCGCCGACGACGCCGTTGGCCTCATTTATTGACATTGCCGCTTCGTTGTGTCCTTCAATGTCGTATTCGATAAAGTCTAGTCTACAAATCAAGACGTGATGAGTCGTTGGCGGAATTGAAGGAAAAAAAGAATTGGGGTGAAAATAACGAGCAAGAAAATGTGGTCAAGGCTCAAGGAAAAAGACGGTGAGGAGTGAATGTACTGCCTACTTGGCACTTACCGAAGCTGACAGATTGGGTGCACGCCAGGCATGCGGTGGATGGTGAGTGAACAGTCGGAGGAGTTTTGATTCACCACACTCTGCTCTGGGTAATCGGTGTTTGTAAAGTACACTAGCTTTTTGAGCGCAATACTGCTGCAACTTTGCGGAACTGCAATTTTATAAAAGTTGAAAACTATTGCTCATAAACAGTTGATACTCACATATGCAGCAAGCATTTCCAAGACCGCACTTTCCTGCCGCAACGCCACCTTTTTGCTTGCACAGCAAGGAAGAGTAGCAAATGCCTCGGTGGTGTTTCAAGTGCAGGGGATCAGCACGAGGGCCACTAGTTGACGGCTGAATAATACAAGAGGGTCCAGCGTGAAGGATGTGGGCACCCACTTATTGGATTGATTACAAGATAAATTACAATTTACAGGTTATAATTTAAACACTTACTGGAATGTATAGTGACTATTTGACAAAAGAGCAGAATCACAGCTACAGTTGTCAGAAATGACCTGCTGAAAATTAAAAGACTGAACATGTTTGATGATGAGAGGTGAGTTTCAGTTTCCCAAAACTTGATATTTGAATTTTCAAAGCACTTTCAAAGTATAAATTGGGCACCAGTGGAAGGGTCCACCAGATGTGCTGCCATAAACTTGGAGTCGACTCGGTGGCAGGAGACTGATAGTGGATGCTACAGCACTTGAATGTTTGCCCTAAACTAAACACGTGCTTATATACTTGAGCAGTGTCAGAACAGTCTGGTGTCTTCAAGAGCGACCATCACACCAATCTAGGGCGTGATCCTTTTCTGGTGAACATTTTCGTTTCTTGCTCAATGTCTTAACTAGGTCAGTGTTCTCTTGTGCCGCATCTTTCTAACTACAGACAGTGACAAAGTGATAATTTGTGTCATTGTGCTTCACTACTTTTGTCGCCTTTTGAACTATCAGCCATCACCGTTGTCATTTTCAAAGACAACAAGTTGTCGTTTATTTATACTTGCACTACAACAAGGTATCTCTAAAAAGCACCACTGGAAACGAATAACTATGGATACTGGAAAAATAAAAATTCGCAACATGATGGTTGAAGATGTTGAAATGGGAATGAAAGCTTTTGAAGAAGAGTATGATCATTTTGATGCACCAGCTACGGTTAGGATTTATCTCAAAACATACCCATCGGCTTTTTTTGTGGCAGTTTTAATCGAAACAACAGGGACTGTCAACTCTGAAAAAATTGTGGGCTTAATTGGTGCTCCAATTTTATGCAACACTGCGTTTATTGGTAATGTTGGCTTTGTAAAAAATTTTTTGTTAAAATGTAATATTTGCTTACAGGTCTGTATGGCGTTTTACCTAAATACCGTGGTATGGGCATAGGAGTTTTGCTTTTTCAAAAGTGTCTTGAATTTGCTGGAAATCGAAACATTTCATTGTACGCTGTGTCTGATATGAGACAAAAGTATATTGATCGATATCATTTTATTGGCTCTGGTATTTCAATGGTCAGTTTTAGTGGTGCTGTAAATAGACTTGCATTCGATAAACCAACTTTGGACAGTAAAATTAAAATTACGACTATTGAGAAGAAACAGCAAGTTTTTAAAGATTTAATCAGGTTTGACAATGAAATTTTCAACTGGCCTAATAATTTTAACCGAGAAAAACTTTTTGAAAACGTACTAAAAGAGCCAAACTACTACTCTAAAATTGCTTTGTTAGAATCAACAAATCAAGTACTTGGTTTTGGATGTGTTCGAAAAAATGAAAACCTTGAAAATACCTTCAACTGTGGCCCTATTTTGGGAAAAACACCAGAAACTTGCCAAAAAATACTTGAATCTTTTATTGATGAACTGATACCATCTGACCAAGGACAAACACATTTGATTTTCAACGCTATAGATGCCAATGAGCAATCACTTGTTTTAGCCAGAGAATTTTTAGGCTTATCATTTACAGGAAAATGTGAAATTTTACACAAAAACCCTGTGTCAGAACCACAGTATCAGTACCAATACATTTACAGCGTCTTTTCATTGGACTTTGGTTTGTGACGTCAAACATTAAAAATTTTTAAATTTTGTAGCATTTAAAATTGTACAACAGTTTCTTGAATATAAAAGTCTCGAATAAAATTTGCACCGCTTTAAACTGATCGTTTTTAAAATTTTCCTCGTGTGCATTGGCGAAATACGCATTCACTTGGACTGTCAAATATTTTATTTTTCAATTTTATCAAAATTACAGAAAATGCCGGCACCGCCAATCAGCGCTCTAGAGCAAATTCAAAAGTTGGATCGCTCTCTCGTTGAAAATGTACGTTTTCGTTTTCTTGCAGAAGCCAATACGCAGCCAAACCTTTATTCACCAGCTGATGTAGAAACTGTACAGAAAAATTCATGGCAAGTAGAACGTTTCATCTTGGAAGCCAAATTGAATGGTGAAAATGCTCTAAAAACAATGAAAACTGCCATGCAATGGCGTCATGAGCAATCAGTGCACCAGATGACTGCATCGGATTTTCCCGCAGAGTACTTTCAAAGTGGGTACATAGTCCGCTTTGGACGCGATTCAGCCGGTGCTACTGTGATTATTTTTAGAGCTAATATTCATCAAAAAACGTCCGAGTGGAATGATTTGCTGAAACGATTTTTTGTGTATCAAATTGAGCAAATTGATTTGTGCAACGATGGCAAAGGTGAGTTTTAAAACATTTGAATTTTTTTAACAAATTTGNAAACGATTTTTTGTGTATCAAATTGAGCAAATTGATTTGTGCAACGATGGCAAAGGTGAGTTTTAAAACATCTGAATTTTTTTAACAAATTTGTTAACAGGCGTAACCATGGTCATCGATTGTGCAGGCATTGGATTGTCTAACCTTGACCTCGATTTGCTAAAGTTTATCGTAACCTCCTTTTCTCAGTACTATCCCAAACTGTTTGACGCCATAATTGTTCACGAGCTGCCTTACTTGTTGACATATGTCTTTAAACTGGTTCAAAGTTGGCTGCCCGAAGAAGACCGAAAATTTTTTCACTTGAGTACCAAAAAAACATTGACTAATTTTATATCAACTAGTGAGCTGCCACCTTTTCTCGGCGGATCAAATGCCAGTAACTGGCGAATGGTTCCCACTGGAGTTGTTCCAGCTCTTGAGTTTGTTCAGTTGAAGAGTCTCAAAGTAGACTCGGCTGAAAAGCTCAAGTTTCTCAACGTTTACATAAAGTAAATTGTTTAAAATGTAGTTGACTTTAAAACAAACTGGTAATATAAAGATGAATGCCAGAGGTTTCTAGCACTTTGGAAGAATAATTAAAAAACAACTGTTTAATCGGAAAAACATTAACCCAATTGTGTTTCAATTGCCTAGTAACTTTAGAGCTAGTCATTAATGAACTCAATGTCACTGCAGCATACAAAATGATTGGTCAGTAAACGAACATGTAGACTGTGGAGTCATTTCAAGGACTTGCTATATATGACTTGGCTGAAGATTCAAATGTTTCTGGTGCATTTTGCATTTGCAACTGCAAATACATTGAGCGTTTCGGTAATTGCTTTCAATGTCAGCTCTTCGGTGACCACCGATGGCTCCCAGAGGAATGATAATAATTACTCTGTCGTACTGACTACTGTGCGTGAGAGGCGACCCGAAAACATAGCCACCTAAAAGTGAATAACTGACAAAAGATATACTGGACCTCTGCTGCACTCGGCACAATCATATATACCAGCACTGCAATGGCACAAAAGGAGGACTAGTTGACATTGACCACAATCCACAACTGCAGCCGAACAGGCTGACAAGCTGAGTTGAATAACAATGCACACGTGCACTGGACAACCATTCTGCTTTTGGCATAAACTATGATACCATCACAATATAGTAGACTCAGTGGGTGCCTGCTGCTGGTGTCACTGATAGTCTGGCACCGGCAGCGAGCAGACACATGTTTTCATTTAAAGCTTGTAATAGTTTTCACAAACCACTTCTTGAGTAACTTCAGTTAAAATCTTCAGTGTTGTTGATTTTACTCGGTTTGTTTAGTTTTCCACTTGTTAACTGCCTTGAGTGCTTTCAAATAAACAGTTCATAATGCCGTTAAAAACACAACAACAACAACCAAATTTTATTATTCGGGCCATGAGCTTTTACGACAACGATGAAGTGCTCGATTTGTGCCGCTTTTCAGACATTGTTCTGGGCGATCAGGTGAACCTTACCATGATGAAGATTGATCACAACTGCTTGCACGTGGCAGAAGACGTTGAAAATGGTGAGTAGTTTGCACAAAATATTAAGATTGTACTTGAATACAGGCTTGATTCATTGATTCTGATTGCAGGCAAAATAGTGGGCGTGTGCAGTGGATTCAACATGAGCTCTCACAGTGCCACATTTGGCGAGTATGCCATTGCGCCTCGATATCGCCGATTTGGCATTGGCTGCGCCCTGTGGAATCGTTGCATTGAGCATTGCAAGAATCGCAATTGTGCCATTTTAGCTAGTGCCAAAAATGTTGCAAAATACAGAGAAAAATCGGGGTTTACGGTGATTCCTGCTAGAAAACTTGTTCAGTTTTGTGGCTATCCATCACTGTTTATGCTAAGCAAGTACTATGAGCAATGTGATTTTGAGTGGATCAATGGTACGTTGTTGTATGAAAAATGTTTAACCAACTAAAATGTCACTTGCAGAATTCAACTTGGCCGACGTAGTGGCATATGACGAACAAATCACCGGCTACAATCGAAGTCAGTTTATCGAGTTTAGTGTGGCCGAATCGAGCACCATTGGCACCATGGCGCGCTGTGTTGAAAGCGGCAAAGTGATGGGTTTCGGCATCTTTCGCCGTGCTAATCGCTCAACCATTGTGCCACAACCACTGTACGCCAACTGTCCGGAGATTGCCGAAGTGCTGCTGTACAATGCTTTGCAGAAATTTATCGGATTTGAGAAACTTGCCATGGAGTGCTGGGACATCAACACTGATGCGATTGCGCTGGCACAGGAAAAGTTGGGCATTGAGCAAGTGAAAACGAGCGGCGCCATAATGTTTACCGAATACGACATGTGCGCCAATTTTAAAAGCATCTTTTGCAACAGTCCGTCTGTCTTTTATCCGTTTTAGGCAGCTTGTTGAGGTGAAATCTCAAGCCCGCAAACCCCAACACTTTCATTTGAGGGTGCTAAGGTCGCTGCTTCAAGATGAAAAAAGTTCTAAACACCTGTTCAATAAGCAATTTGAATTGCGTTTCAAAGAACCATCAATTTTGTTGTTTTGTGACTTTATTTAGTGCGCAAATAATAATTCAAGCTACAATGAGCAGTTGTTTTATACATTTGTCATAGAGCCTTTGCTGCTGAGCGACAAATACGGGCAGGGACTACTGGCGCCCTCTGCAGAACGAGTTAACCGTTTTTAATGTGGTCAAAGTTATCACATTTTTTTTGTATTGCAAGTTTGTGCAATGAACGAGTTTTAATTTAACATCTCAACATTTNTTCTAAACACCTGTTCAATAAGCAATTTGAATTGCGTTTCAAAGAACCATCAATTTTGTTGTTTTGTGACTTTATTTAGTGCGCAAATAATAATTCAAACTACAATGAGCAGTTGTTTTATACATTTGTCACCTATGAAATATGTTTTAAAAATGTTTAAATTTTAACAATAAAAACGAATAGTTTACAGGTTAAAATAAAAACACAAGTATCCAACATGCAATAAAATGTGTGACGCAAAACGAGAGCACACCTAAAAATGCATCATTTATACACTATGAAAAGAGAATGATGACAGTTTTTGTGACAACAATCCCTTGAGATGACCAAACTACTCTATTTGCTTCACAAGCATATTTTCATTCATGTTTTTTAGCCACATTTAGCTACGACAAGGTTTCAGTTTTTATATATTGATTTCACGCTATTCAGCTCGTTGCTACACCGCCAGCCCTGCTGTCCAGCAGCGTCGACATTGGAATCAAGTGCTTGGCATCGTTGACGCAGTTTGTCGAACATCTTGTTTGGTGAAATCTGCGCAATGTGGGCGGTGGTGAAGAGAGAAAGATACACTACAAAAAATGCAGAAATGAAAAAAGGCAAAAGAAAGTGGTAACATCAAGTAAATGTGACAAAAGAGTAACAAAGAAGATTAGAGTCACAGAATGCATTTTATTTTGGCAACCATCATGTAAATCACAGTTAACACAAAAAAATTATAACATAACAAAAATAACCATATTTACAAAAAACAAATGTTTTGAAAAAAACAGTTCAACTTATGTAGAAAGGCAGTGAAATGACATTGTCGTCTGATGTGATGAACAATATTGGCTGCACAATGACAGTGTCAAGAACGGTGCAAAGAAAGAATATAAAATCAAGAAGGTGATGTTGGTCAGGAACAATGACGCTGCTGCTGCTGTGAGCATTTTGATTTGCTGTGTTGATTGTCGAGTCAGTACTCTTTTTGGCATCATTCGATCCATCACTGGTGTTTGTTTCATTTACAGTTGATTCCATTTAAGAATTGCTCCGAGACACCTTTATGTAAATTTTAAAACAGCAAAAGAGAAATGTCTGATTCGAATAATGTTTTGGTGGCACAATGCTTCATGAGGGTGAAGCTCTGATGATCAAATGAGGTCAACGCACGAAAATAAACTCTTGGCGCTCTTCTAAAGAGTGCTGCTGTTGATGGGAAAAAAGAGACTCGAGAACAAGATAAGTGTGAGAGAAAAAGAGAAAAGAAGAGAAAAACAACTAGTGCCAAATGACGAAGACACTGTGAACTAGTTTCCCGTCGCTTGACCCCAATCAGCCACTTGGCGCGACTGCCTAGTGATATATCCGATGTGTGGATGATGTTATGGTGTTGCAAACTGCTGCCTGATAAACTGGAGATAATTTTTTACCGTTATAAATATTGTACAGCACAATGAATTTCACAATCACACGTGTATGATGTAAGTACGGTTTCAAGTGAAGTGCTGTTCATGTAAACAGAGAAACTTCATCAAGCTAAGTAAGTGGCAATTGACCGTCTGACCACTTTCGGCAAACAAAACTGTGTATGTACCTGTGTCTGGTTGCCTTGACAATTCGCACTTGCCTGCCAAATAGCACAATATTGAGTAAACAGAATATGTGCTGAGTAAATTGGTTTTAAACAAAAATATTTTATAATGTAATATTAATAATGCAAATAAAATCGAGTTTAGGTCGTGTGGAACCTAAGAAGAATAAACAAGGCACAACAGGTGGTGTGATTTTCAATAAACACCCCAGGTGGGCTTGGCAAGTTCAAATGCTCACAAGGCTGCACAAGGCTGATCATTCAAACTGCAGCTCATTGAGAGATCGAACGCGAATCACCGGCACGTTGGTGTCTTTGACTTCTTCAGCCTGGCGGCGACAAACCAGCTGAACAGCAACCATGTTGGCCGACTTGGCAGTGACATACTCGTCCAAAAACTTGGTGAGAAAGAGGACATCTTCCGGCGGTTGTTTGATGCTGGCCAGAATCTTCTCAAAGGTGCCCTTTTCAGTGAGTGGCCCCATGTCAGCTCCAAAGTGGCTTTCAATCAGTAGGTTCAGATCGCCATGGTTGGTGGCGGTGAGAAAGCGCTTGGTAGCTTCCGTGCAGCCCTTGGACACGGCAAAAAGACGAATTTGCATGTCACAACGCCACTTTTGAATCTGAAGTGCCACGTCGCTAAAGACCAAAGTCTCCAAAAGACCTTTGTCGTAGCCAGAGAAAATGACGTGGCGCCTGTGTGTTTGAATGTGGGAAAACATGACATTAATTTGAAAGCATAATGGAGATCAGACTTACTTGAGCGCACAATATCCTTTGGGCTCCAACTTTTTGCCCTCTTGAAAGTTGACGTAGCTGAGCACAGCGGAAATCACTTCGGCCTTTTCAGCGCTTTTGGCGGGAATTTTAGGAGCCCCGTCCACGAGTGGCTCGTTGCGAATGCAATCAATGTCTTCCTGAGTTTCCGGCTTGGCCCAGTTTTCCTCAAGGAAGCTCTTGACATGTGAGCGAAAGTACGGCATAATTTTCTTTTCGTTAAAGCCAGTCTTGACGGCAATGTCGCAAATGTCGAGCACAATGGCTTTTGGTTTCTTGACCTTGATCATTTTGAGCGAGAATACGACTACTAGAATGAATATATGAAAATTAATAAGGTATAAACACTGTTGCTCAACTACTGTTGGTAAAACTAAAAGTTCCATTTTCTTTTTGTTTAGCCACCTGG